TAATAAACTTTTATCAGTAGACCTGTGTTTATAATTAGCAGAGCGCCCTAGCATGTAGGGTACAAAACACCTACTTTAGGCCCTGGCGTCCTTCCCCTTGCCTCCCCTGTTCCTCGCTCAGCCTCCTTCTTCTTCTACCGCCGCCAGCTATCCTCCCATCAGCTCTTCCTCCGTCACCCAACCCCTCTCTCCCTCAGCTCTTCCTCCGTCACCCAACCCCTCTCCCCCTCAGCAAGCTATATTATGAAGTTTGTCTCAGACGGCATTGCACTCCTAACACGGTGCGCGTGCATGCGCAATATCTCCCGTGCGAAATCGTATTTTGCAAAGATTATGCATTTAAAATGAAGACGAGTTATCCTAGCATAGATTTATATGATAACATTCCATCAGTTGACATCATTTAAGAAATCGGAAGAAGATCTTGCATGTAAAGTAACCGCTGCGTATACCAGCCAGTACACAATCTGGCTAAGTTAGTGTGTTTGCGCATGCGCAATATCTCACCAGGTGAGTTATATTTTGTGATGAATATACATTTAAAATTGTTAGGGGGTATCTCCGTATACATTTCCCTAATATACTTTTATCAGTAGACCTCTGTTTATAATTAGCAGAGCGCCCTGGCATTTAGGGGACAAAACACCTACTTTAGGCCCTGGCGTCCTTCCCCTTGTCTCCACTGTCCCTCGCTCAGCCTCCTTCTTCTTCTACCGCCCCCAGCTATCTTCCCAGCAGCCCTTCCTCAGTCACCCATCCCTCTCCCCCGCAGCAAGCTATATTATGAAGTTTGTCTCAGACGGCACTGTACGCCTAACAGGGTACGCGCGCATGCGCAATATCTCCCGAGAGATATCGTATTTTGCAAAGATTATGCATTTAAAATAAAGACGAGTTATCCTAGCATAGAATTCTATGATAACATTCCATCAGTAGACATCATGTAAGAAATAAGAGGAAAACCTTACATGTAAGGTCCCTGCTGCGTATACCAGCCAGTACA